CTGGAACCGATCCTGGTCACTCGCTCCTACTCGGCCGACGGGATGCAGTAGCGAAAACTCGGTGAGTCCGATACGTAGTTTTCGCCTCGGTGTTCTATCGATCTAGTTCCAACTGCCGATTGTCTATGCCACACATCGATGAGCCCTGAAACGCTGCGCGGTTGCAAGCACGTCTTGAGACATCCGTTCCTTTGCCACCTAACTAGATCTGCACCTGCACTGCTGCCGTTGCCGCCTCTTGGCGTCTATCGCGCCGGCGACCGAAGCCAACCTCCAATCGGTTGAACAGTCTCGATATAAATGTCGTCCTACACCGCAACCGATGTCCGTCACAAATAGTCCGCCTGAAAAATACAACCACGGAAAACGCGATATAAAAACTTACCGCCTATACACGGTTGTGTTCTTTCGGTCTCCTTCCTTTCCTTTATGTTCACCTATCCGAATGTCCATCAAACTCAACTCCTAACCGAGTTCTGAAGATGGCTGGTCATATAGTAATTTTATTAAAATGTTCATAATGAATTCAGATAAACCATGTCTTGAATACCTTTAAAATAATTAATTGTACAGTGGTCATAGCATAGGGGTCGACTCCCACTCATTGTTCAATTTGAAAGGTATAATAAAATTAATTTATGTATAAAAACTTGATAGGGCATTATTTTTTGCCCCGGTCACGTCACACCCGATTACCAAACGTTCTATTTTCTTATCACAATTTTTTATATTTTTTCTGATTTTATCTTTCTTCGCAGTTTTGGGTTTTCCGTTTTCCTTTGTTGGTGAAACAATAATCGACGACAAAATGTTATTTAAGTCGTCTTTCCGCTCGTATTTGATGACTTGTAAAGGGTTTTGATAGGGCTTTCTTGATAATGGCTGCTTTAACGTGTAACAATTTTTGTAATAAGATATAGTTGGTTTGATCCGTTTCCCTTTCTTTCGCCTAGCGGTTTATGAAAGATAATGATTTTCTAATAAAGGGCGCCGGTTTTTGGGTCTTGTTTGTTCTGTCCATGTGGCATGTACACATTTATTATTTGTTTCTTCTTCATAACTTTAGATTTCTTAATTGTCAGTTTTTTCCATTTTTTGTTCAAAATTGTAATTATTGTTCATGTATCGGTTTTTTACATCGCCACCAGAGAAATCTATGTGATGCTGACCTTTTGCGTCACCATTTGTAAAACACGCGTGATGTCTATTTGTGTTACCACTTTGAAATTTAAGTTTTGAATTTGTTTCTATTGATGTTGAAATTAAGTCATTATTCTTTCCCCTAGTCACGTCACGACAGACTACCAAACGTTCTGTTTTCTTACTACAATTTTTTATATTTTATCTGATTTTATCTTTCTTCACAGTTTTGGGTTTTCCGTTTTCCTTCGTTGGTAAAACAATAATCGACAACAAAATATCGTTATTCGAGTCATTTTTCCGCTCGTATTTGCTGACTTTAATGGGCTTTGATAGGACTTTCTACAAACCTCTTTGATCATCGACAGTGACACATCGCTGTCGCTTCCAAATATAGACCATTCTTCATTTGAACTCAATATTTTATACTTAAAATTTGTATGGCAATAGTCAATAGTTAATGGTTTTCTGATCGTTTTAATTTAACATAAACAATCGAACTTTGGAATTGAAGTTTCGTTCCAGCAATGGGTTTACTATCGATGTTGAGATTGTTTTGAAGTCATCAGGTATTCATTGCTTAATTTGAAAGGTATACTTTTTGGTAAAACACTTAGTCGGGCATTATTATTTTCCCCGATCATGTCACGCCCTCCCATCAACCTAACGACTATTGTACGAAAATCAACCAAACCCTTCACGGTAAAAACAAATATCAGACTTTGAAAAAGATTTATTTATGCCTATTTATAATCATTATTTTTATTTATCTATTTGTATGCTGTGTAACCGTATAACTATTCTTTTTCTAATTGCAATTTGATAACTTTCTTGTATTTAATTTTGACTATTTGTAACCGTATATTACACAGCAGTGTTTTAAATTAACTACTTGAATAAAATATTGGTTAAAATAATAAATTTGTGTACATTGGTTGATTTTATTTCTGTGTTTTTGTATGTTCAATAACCTAAAACTAACAATACTATTTATATTTGTCAACACCTTTAAATACCATTAGTTGTATCGATTATACTAACAAGTAACAATATTGACGATAGAATACATTTGAATAAAATTAATAATTATTGTAACAAATAGTAACACATTTATTTTCACAAGATTTTTTACTGTAAACATTAAATGTACATGCTAAGTAGGTAGACAGTGGGAAATGGTATTTTGCGCCAATTTTATTACTTGTAATTTGCGCCATGAATAGGTGTACATTTAAGTACGTATGTAATTTGCGCCAAAATATAAATATATAACAGTATTTTGCGCCACGACAGTAAATGAAATGGAATATGTAATTTGTGTCACACTTCCAACTTCAATTGCAGTTGGAATTTACCAGTAGATAAATTTAAAATATTTACATTTATTTAAAATTATACCATCACTGATTTTTATATATTTTATTACTAAACGAAAATTTATTTATTCAATAAACATGGAGTTTATTTTACTTACATTAATTTATTTATAATTTTTATATTAGTGGCGCTAGTTACAATTTTAATAAGGTGAACAAAGGCGCAAATTACAATTTAGTAGGTACACGATGGTACAGATTACATAATGCTTTTTTATTTAGTTTTATTTAGCGCAAATGATATGTATTTTAGGTGGGGGGATTGTTTTTGGCGTAAATTATATACGCCCGTTAATACGTTAATAGTTTATTTTCATTTTTCAACCCTCTGATTGCAATATAATTATAGGCCATAGTCCGTAGGTTAAGGCACTGGAATAGATTGGTAGAAAAAACATCAACCGTAGTCCGTCTCCAGAAGGCTGATGAATCTTTTTTTTCTTTTTTTTTTTACCAGTGTCGCACATCGAATTTTACAGAATAGTTCGTCGTGCGGTTACCGGGAGCGCTATTCGCAGTCTTGATATATTTTAACTCAAGAGTCGCCTATCTATTATATTATAACATTTATAACTATTATCTATGAATGACACGTCGCTGCGTTTTCAAAGATTGACCATGCTCTATATTTTTTCGAAACTTATAGCGTTTCTTATGCGACTTGTAAAATTCAGTTTTTTAAGGGTTGTAAGATCAGTAATTTACTTTTTACTATTCAAATACCTACCTTTTTTATTTAAATCGTTTGTTTCAATAAACCAATAGGAAGCTTAAGTTATTTTGATCATAATAATTTCAGTTTCTCTCAATTCGTTGGATAATATTGGACTAATTCTCAAGATATAATATCCACGAGATTGTTTTTAGTTTCAACATGGTGTAATTCATTGACTGAGCTAAGATCGTAAAATTTCCCCATCCTATCTACAATAAATATCTGCCAACGTGTGGATGGCGAAATTACCCAAGCTAAGTCTATTGAAAAACTGGACAAAAAATAACAACGTGGTATTTTTAAACCTAATTTTAGTACTACTTTGCTCTATGGCTTGGCTAAAATTGAAGTCGCTTATAGTTCCAATCGCGGGAGCGATTTAACTTTTAAAGGTGTGACTTAAGATTTTACACACAATAAATGCGATGTTTAAACGCCATTATTATTTATTATGTGTCGTATATACATGCACTATAAGCGGCTACACTGGCTTCAGCGAAACAATGAACTTCGATATCCAAATAATTAAATAAGAAAACGCGGTATACTCGTACATCCTTCAAGTAAACTTTTTAATTTATACAAATATTTTTTCGACTCATCACTTCATCAGTCATTCTGCATTTTCGTTAGTACTGGTTTATATCAGGTATATGCAGGTATCGCATATTTGTGTGTACGAAACCTAGCTAAAATATTAAATAAATCGTCTTGTATCGTAGGCCCCTTTAATACCATAGTATTTAAGTTGATACCTGTATCAGTTTTAGTGGGCGGCTTTCATTTGGGCGAATAACCCAAAATAACATATCGTTTGGGCGAATTTATATACATTATTTGGGCGAAATTTACACAGACCCCTAATTTATCTAATATATTGTTTGGGCGAGCCGAGTTATTAAAAAAAAAATAATTGCTATGTATAATATTATTCCTAAAAAAATCATTTATAAAATTATAACTAATGTCTGATTGTCACAATATTATATATATTGTTCCCTATCTATATTTGTAAATTGGTTTTAACACTTTAAAATAGTTATCACCAAGGCTAGAATTTGTATGCAATAGCATTTTTTTTTGCTACGTACAAATGAAATTTAAATGAGTAATGTCCATGATTTATATTATTGTGATGAAGATGGTATTATTTTTATTTAACATGTTTTTGTATATATTGAGCTTAATGTATATTTTTGCATATTTAATATGATCGTATTTATTATATAATATGTTATATATAATATTATGTTACTTCCCTATTATTCAATAATTTATAAATTCGCCTAAACGATCGGTTAATTTCTCGCCTAAATGATACAACTCTACTCAGGTAAATTTTGGGTTATTCGCCCAAATGAATGACGCCCGTTTTAGGGGCGGTACTGGTTTGCGCACAAATACCAAAAAGACAACTTGTTTGGGCACAAAACTACCACTCGTTTGGGAACAGTCAAGTCGTAATCATACACATGGTTTGCGCACAGTTACCTTTTAGACTTTAATAGTTTAATACCTTGCATATTAATATTTCTTTATTATTAAAGTACTTACATACATTTTCCTTCCCCCTTAATAGACTTAGGACTGTCTATGAATGTATTCATAGGTGTGGTTAAAAATGTATGTTGATACTTGCTTATTAATAATTGTAATAAATAATATTTAACACTTGTTCAGGTTAAAAATGCATGTTAATTTTAATTTTAATATAATATGGTTGGTATATATGACATATGTATACGTATAGGATAAAATATACGTGTCTATTATTTTTTGCAATAACAGTTTCCCATTATTTGAATGTATTTAATTTGGTCTATTTCGCCAGATGTATATTTTGTCCATAAGTTTATGCGATGTTCAACTGATTCTATTGACTCCTTACGACGATAATTATTTATATTTTTGTTAATTGATGTTATTTTTAATTCTGTTTCGCTTTGTATTTTAAGAATTACGTCTATTACCTGGTGTATGTGGGGATGTGGAGTGTAAAATTGTTGGTTGAAATGTCTATGAAATGCTTCTACACCGTTCGTAGTTCGAGGTTCGTCTTTTGGATGTCCTGCCCATAACTTAGGATTAAATTTTGAATCGGGAATTATATATGTTTCAAGAACGTAGTCGGAAAATGAAAAATCTGACGTTGGGCAATCGGATATTAATTGTGTAAAGGCATCTTTTACTTCTTCTGGAGGTAAATACGGCAAACCAAAAAAACTTTTAAGCCAATTGCCAATATTGGAATTTTTGTTGTTATACTCAAGTAATAATTGTTTGTTACTTTGAATGTGCCGAAACCAACTTTGAGCTAAATGAAAAGTACAAGCCACAATTTTACAATCGGGATAAAGATTTAGTAAAGCATTGTGTGCGGATATCTCAAAATCTACATGAAACTCTTTAATATTTAGTTCTTGGTTAAGCGTATGAACACAAAGATCCTGAATTGTTATCCACATTGTATTATACGTTGAAATTGACTTACTCTTCAAAAAACAAAAAATTACCGGCACATAAAAATGATTTTGATAAATATGGATCGTGTATAACTGGTTAAACAATTTTGGACAATAATCAAATGTGCCATCTCCAAAAACGTGTTGAGCATTGCATAAGACACTTAAATTTTTTGGACAAGTTAAAATTACTACATTTTCGTCTTTACTTAAATAAATAAACTGTTCGCCTTTAAATAACAAATTTTCTTGCATTTCCCTAATCTGATTAATTGCTTCATTTATATTTTTTGGAAGAGTTGGAAACTGTTTTTTTCTGGCGGCATACATAGAATTTCTTAGTAAATGAATATCACTATGTTTAAGATTATTACCTTGGTTTAAATTAAGTGTTTGTCTTATTATCTTACTCGGTTGTATGTGCAGCTCTGTTTCAGCTTTACGTTTCACAACACTGCGAATCATCTCTTTTTCAATTTCATTTGCTGAATACTCACTATGTTTACTATGATCATTTATAACTTGAATTACTTTGGTGTATAGTTTATTTACAACATACAAGCCATTGCATTTTTTATTGGTACAACGAAAATAAAAATCACCACTTTTTAAAACACGATATTTAGTGAGTTTAAAATTATTTATACTAATACAAGTATTTCCTCGTCGCGATTCAAAAACTTCACTAATTTCTAAATCCATGTTCAATAAATATAGGTTAGGCGTTAGGTCTATATTATATCGTTTGTATAACACTATGGTTTATGATAGTCGTAAACCACGATAAGGCCGATAACATACACCGGGTTTTATACCGCGCGACTAGCCGATACAGGCATGTATTATTTTCGTGTGCGCAAACCAGTTGTACATTTAATATAACCGTGTGCGCAAACGAGTTCCGATTTTTCAGGTAAAAATTATGGATTGTGCGCAAACAAGTTGCAGCCCGTTTTAGTAGACCCGCGAATACTATGGGGTGTGGACAGACAAGTGGGGCTACTATTATCGTTGATTACAGCATAATGTGGTAGAAAATAAACACAGGTTCATTGTCTGATTCTTCCGCCATACTACGCTGCGGATTTCATATGACCAAGATGTAGAATGTAGATATTTAAACATGAATTCTTGATAATCTTTTTATAATTCTGTATTTAGACCCAATCGTTTTTCGATAGACAAAAATCGTCGGAACGCGTTTTTATAAGAATTATCTAATTTACTAATATTTTCACGGAACAGTATCTGTGGAATAAATTTTCCCGTAGTGTTTCGTACTTTCGCAGTGTGCTGTTTTAATAAAATAATTGTGACAAGTTTTTTCTTCTGATATGTAATATGTATTGTTATCGATATTTTATCCAAAACATCGCAATGCTTTCATCTACATTATCCCCTTTTTGATGCGTGTTCAAACAAATATGTCTGGACGCCCTGATCAAATTAAACATTGATTTATTAATATGTTAGTAATCAATTTATCTATGTACAAGTTCTCAACGCAAATTAAACACATTTAAGAGGATAACGTAGATATCTGTGTATGAATTATTTACACTTTAATCAAAATTCAAATTAAGAAGAATAGGCGGCGATTAGTTTGAGTTGGATGGTGGATCAGACACGTTAAAAATTATTCTGAGTGATAGATATATTCAATTCAACATAGATAAATTGTCCATTTTAGTTGAACTAGTTTTTCAAAACGAGGTAGGTATACTAAACGCCGATTTTCTTGTAAACTGAGGTACACTTAAATTTATAGTTACACTTATACAGCACCACATATTGTATTTACTTATTATTTCCTGGACGAATCTAGAATATTCAACAAGTCTAATACAAAAATAATTATTTTATTTACTGGTTAAAAATAAATCGTTTGTTAATGTTAAGTTAATACGAATAGAAAACCAGGCAACTATTGACTATATTGCTATACAAAAATTAGTTTGCTTATTGGCGTAGTACTGGTACTTTGTTTAAAACTATTCATTGTATTTAGCTATAATTTTTAATATTTCTATTATGAATAGTAATATAAAATATTAAGTATTAAGTTCCGATGGAGGATGGTCCATATTTGGAAGCGACAGCGACGTATCACTGCCGGTAATCAAAGCGATTTGTAATGATCCCTATCAAAGCCCATTACAAGCCTGCAAATACGAGAGGAAAGAAGACATGAATAATGACATTTTGTCGTCGATTATTATTTCACCAACGAAGGAAAACGGAAAACCTAAAGATGTGAAGAATGAACCATCGAAGGAAACAAACTCTGAGCATAAATTTCTAAGTGGAGATGCAAATAAGCATCACGCATATTCTATATATGGTGACGCGAAAGAGAATAACATGAATTTCTCTGGCGGCGATGTAAAAAATCGATACATGAACAATAACTACAATTTTGAACAAAAACTGGAAAAACTGACAATTAATAAAATTGTCTCCAAAAATATGCCGCCAATATGTGTGGTCTAAAAATAAACCTGTTATTTCAATTTTTTCAGGAATGTAGTGACAGAGCTGATTTTATTACTATTAGTATTTATAATATATTTATTTTATATTGCATAATATTATTGAATATCGTCTAATAAATTGTTATACTAAATTCAATCTAGAATTTTTCAATTAAAATATTATTATTTATAAATTATAAGCAAATATATCAATATATGTATAGGTTCTACAATGATAAACATGTAGATGTTTTTACCATGATAATATTATCATAAGCGAATAATTCAATGTATGTTTATTTATAAAAATAATAATAAACCAGTGCATAGGTGGGCCACGTCGAGTGTCGACCCGTTATCGACCGAGCGGTAATTCTGAATTCTTTAGTTACAGCACGGCAAATTAAACTCGTAAAGTAAAACTGTTTTCGATCTTCGTTTGCGTTCATTCACCTATCAATAATTCTCGTTGACTTTTACTAGTGTTATTTTAATATGATACCATATTTTTTTACTTGAACACTTGTAAACTAATAAGAGTTATTTTCTCTATAGACAATGTTAATAATTAGCCATTGCTTCATAATAAAAAAGTAAGTAAAATTATTTTTCTTGAATTTGAATATAACCACAAAGAAATATATTTAATATATTTATTTTATTTAATGAGTTATGTCAGCTAAAAGAAAAATTAATGATTATTTTACCAAACAAAGCAAAAAAATTGATGAACCTCAACTAAGCCCTAACAAAGTCCAAATTACATCAGAAAAAACTCCGAATATCAAGATCAGGTAAATAAAATTTTTTTATTTTTTAAAATAGTATAGGTAAGCCATGTTTATATTTTTGCTTTATTAGATAAAAACCATACCGCATGTAAATGACATAGATATATTTGTGAATTGTGATTTAACAAATGATGAAAAATATTCCCTAAGTTATCTATTGCTTTAAGATTTTACTAAAGAAAAGAAAATATAATTATTTGTTCATAATTATTGTAATACCTATCTAGGCGTTAACTAAAGTATGGGTATCACTGCCTACATATAAATTTCCCTTATGCATTATAAATGAAAAAAGAGGTTTGAAATTCCAATATAAATGGCTACTTGAGTTTAATTGGCTTGCTTATTCCAAAAAAAAACCAAGGTGTTAACTGTAAACATTATCTTGCGTTTGCCAAAACTGGTGGTGTGGGGAGTTAGTCTTTATGCAAATTAGTATATGAAGCTTTTAATGCGTGGAAGGAAGCTTTAGAGGTAGTAATTTAGGTATTATAGGTAATCAATATGTATAATTATTAAAACTATTTCTTAATTATTATCTAGGTATTTTGGAAACACTCTACTTGTGATTATCATGTTACTTCTGTTATTAAATCAGATTAATTCCTTGATATTTTTACTAATAAAGAACCATCAATTATCAAAGCAATCTGTGAAGATAGGTTTGTAAACATTACCTCTAATTGAATAATTATTATGTCTATTTTAATCAAGTTATATTTTTTCAATAAAAAAGTTCAAATATAAGAAAATAGAAAGAAATTTGTCCCTATAATTGAATGTATTATATTTTGTGGACGCCAAGAAATTGTCCTTAGAGGGCATAATGATTCTAGAAAAGTGTGTGTTAATGGTAATATTTTTGTAGGTAATTTATAATGTATGTATATAATAAGAATATAATTTTAAATATTGTAGAGGAATTGTCAAATAATGGACATTTTCGTGCAATACTGAGGTATATAGGGAAAGGAGATATTTTTTTTAAATTGCATCTAGAAAATAATTAACAATATAAATGTATAGAAACCAAAATCCAAAATGAAATAATTGTGGCATGTGGTGATATTATACAGAAAAAAATAAATGTTGCAGAATGTTTTTTCTATTCTGACAGATGAGACCACAGATGTGTCAAATAAAGAACAGCTCATTTTATGTGTAAAATATATTGATGATAAAAATAATTTATATGAAGATTTTTTGAAAGAAGTAAATATTGACAGTTTAACTGGGGCTTTACTTTCATCAGCTATCCTAAATGGTATTTATATTAATTAACAAAAATAGTTATTTTGTTAATATCTTGGTAGTATAATAATTTAATATATAATTTTAGGTTTAACAAATTGTGGAGTTCAGTGTGATTTTTTGTTAGGACAAGATTATGACGACGCTAGTAATATGTCAGGAAAGTTTAGAGGTGTTCAAGTAATTATATGTGAAAAGTATCCTCAAGCATTATATTATGTTCATTGTGCTGTCCATTCATTAAACCTAGCTGTTTCAACTGCTAGTAACATCAAGCCAATACGAAATTATCTTGGCATATTAGAGAAAATGTATACATTTTTAACACTCCGAAATGTAGCAGTGTAATATTACATGAAATTAATGGTTATGACTTTGAACCCAAAGTTAAATTGTTGAGGAGACTGTGCTATAGGGTGGGTTCAACATTATAGCGCTGTAAATGATTTTGTTGAATTGTTTTTGTTTGTAGTTGCTGCATTAGAAATAATTTCTGAGTGGAATGATAGTTCAGTGACTGATGCATCTATATTATTAAAAGCTTTTGATAGTGAATTTCTTATCTCACTTCAAGTTATGAAGGTAATTTGATCAATACAATTGCATTATACATATAGATATATATCTAATAGTTAAATTTTATTTAGAATTTATTTTCATATGGCTTATTATTATGTAAACAACTACAATCTGAACAAATTGATTTTATGGAAGCAGTTTGCCTGGCTGAAAATACAGATTTAGTTTTAAAAGGCATAAGAACTAATACTGATGAAGAGTTTAAACAAATATTTGTAAAATCTGAGGTTAATGAGTATCTAAATATATTTGTTTAATAGTTATATTGAATGTTTTTTGTTGGTAATGCTTAGGAACTGGCTGCAAATATCAATGTAAATCTATCTGTTAAAAGGATAGCAAAAAGACAAACAAACAGAGCGAATCTTTTTACAGTCTATAAATAATGTAACATGTAAAATGGTTATTGAAGTTTATTATCGTACAATAATATTTGTACCATATTTATTGCTCAATTAAAAGCTAGATTTTTAGCACACAAAAATATATTCAAAGGTATATATTTTTTATATTTTAATTATAGTTGTATAATTGAATAAAAATTCTATGGTTCATTCATAATTTAAATTATGCAGGTTTTAAAGCTATGTTTTTGAAAAACCAGTATCTTAGTGCTTGTGAAGTTAAATCCTTTCAAAATCTATTAGTGTTTTATTTGTCTATTATAAACAAAAATAATAGTTTAGCAGAGTTAAAAATTTGGCGAACAAAATTACTCCAAAACCAAATAGTTATCAAAACAGCCTTAGACACGTTTCAAGTTTGTTGTCCTAATCTATACCCTAATATTAATAACATATTGAACATTTTATCCATTTTACCTGTTTCAACTTCAATGCCTGAAAGGTCATTTTCCACATTAAAACGAGTAAAAACATAACCAAGAAATTTAATGACTGAGGTATAATCTCAAATAAAAATTTAACATTTTATGTTATGTTTTTCTGTTTCTTGTAGGATCTTTTAAATAGTTTAACTATGTTAGCAATACACAAAAACGTGATTTTTACACTAGATGAAATGTTGGATAAGATGCCAAGAGAGATGTCATGAGAACCAAGAAAATTAGAAATTCTCCTTAAGTTAAAAATTAATTAATGAATTGTATAATTAAAATAATACATATATTCAACTTGAATGTATATAGTGTATTTACGAAAGGAAAATATTTTTTTTTTATTAATGTTTCAATTTGAATGACTAAATATAAAAAGTGTGAAGTTTAAAGTAGAAGTTTAAAATATCTCTTCTAAGAAGATATTCAGGGAGAATGATATGTAACAAGTCAAAAACGAATATCCCCTCCCATTCTAAAAAGCTGTGCACGCAACTGCTCCTCTCCAACTCTATTTGCGTTTATAGTAGTGGGGAGGTGGTTCTTCAGGCTATATTTATTGCCTCTGGAATAAAGTCAGTTTGCCACTCCACTGATTGCAATCAACTTTTGTTTAGTTTTGATATTTTCTTTATTCGTTTGCTCATGTAGGTACTTGAAAATCAACAGGGTTTTTTTACCATCAAATTTTAAAATAAAATTACTATATTTAATCATTGCAATTATATAAATTATAATATTGCAAATAATGGTTTTGCAAAAAAAAAAAAAATTTTAAATGATTTTCAATTTTGAAATAGTTTTAATTTAGGTTGCCTAACTTGTAGATTTAATCCTTTACTAACAGTAATTAATGGATCAAATAAAACACAGTTCTTACAAAAAGCTCCATATAAATATTTTGAATATGCTAGTCTCTTAAACTCTTCCAACCAAGGTTTTGGAAAATTCCATTTCTTATTTTTCTGTTATCTTTATGTATAAATAGAATATCACCAATATTAGTACTATTGTTTAGTATATATTATATATCCTATCAGTACACAGTATATTTTAAGTTTAAACAAGCACCTAGATTCCTAATAATATTAAGATGTATTATAACAATAACAATAAGCAAATTAACCATTTTACTCTAACTAATAAATATATTTTACATTATTTCGTATTATCATCAATTATAATATCTGCTTTACAAATTTGACCAATAGTGAACAAACCTTCCCAGTAATTCCAGTTCCCACATCTGACCATATCCACTTGTTTACAATCAGAAAAAATGGTCGAATAAGATCTTTAAAAATAAACAAATAAATTAGGTCAATTAAATAAAAATAATAGTACTCTTATTCAAAATTATCCTGTCTTGTCGTCGTCCAACGTACCAAAACTAGGAAATTTTGAACTTAAGTAGGTACCTAAGCAGTTGATCTACACGTCTCACACTAGTCACACTTATAACATGCGCCTTTTTCGATACGTAATTTCATACACAACGATGCGATACATGATATTTTGAAGCCCAATTAAAACAAATTTCAACTGATCAATCAGTATTCGAGGTTGGAGCAGTGGTCTGTAGTGTCTTTGTAGTCAGAAATGGG